CATTATTTTGCAGGTTTTGGCACGAGATTTTATGCATACGCCTCACTCGGTTCAATTTTTTTTATCACCTCTAAATTTAGCTGATGACATCATAAGACACAACTTTACTGGCATACAAGTAGAGTACTACTACTACTACTACCAAAAATGAACCATTTAATTAATTTGTACTAGAATACTAGTCTTGTTGTTCAACCAACTGTGTGGTACTTTGCTTGGCTCCTAAATGACAGTCGAACCCACACGGCCACACCATGCATAAAAGTGTCCCTCTAAAATACAATGTTTTCCCTGTTAACCCGACCGACTATTTGGTTCCTTTCCTTGGACGACCCCTCCTATTATTATCATATTGCTACTACCTTATGTTATTTTGACACCTTAATAAATGAGTCTTTGAAATGTCACCAAAACTAATTACTATACTTTGTGCTTCCGATCCAAAACAACAATTATCTTTTAGTTGTATGAAGGGTATTTTGGAGATACTTAGTTGGTTGTCATCATTATACAAACGGTTGATGGTTGTCCTAATCCCTGGATAAATCTATAAGCTTGTAAAACAAAGAGAGTAATCAGTGACTGACCATAAGTCGATGTCCTTCCATGATCAAGTTGTAAAATGAACTTTTATAGAAAGAGGGAAAAAAAAAGGTAGTCAACCAATAAAGTCTAAAAATTAAGTCACCTTTGTTGCAATATGCCTTGAATCGGTGTTTGGAGTAGTGAGCTCACTAGGTAGCCTGGATTTGTGAGTAGGCAAGCTGTTAAATGGACCAGCTCAACCAAAAGCTTAAGTTGATGGTTGAAGTCCAAGATTGGTTTATATACTTTATCACGCTCCCTTATATGAGAGCCCTTTAGGCTTGAAATGTGGATGCAGCATGGGCCCTCTGCATACCCTGAGCGAAATATTTCACTTAAAAGTGGAGGTGAATGAGATTTGAACTCATGATCTTGTGTCACGTTGCCTCTGATAGAGTATATATATACTCTATCACAAGCAAGTTGCGACGAGGAGGCGAGCTATAGCCTCGCTCTAGGCGAGTGAGCAATAGCTCATGCATCATCATGGCTTGAGTAAGCTATAGCTCTTGGCGAGTGAACTATAGCTTGGCCCTATGGAGGCTTGTGGCATGCTTGAGCTAGCTGCCGAGCTCTTATGAAATAGTTTCCTATTTTGGTTTTCTCCACATGACGGATTTAAAATTTACTTGGAAAATACTCTAGAGTTTTTATTAGGGTTTTCTTATGTTATAAATTGACTTTTTAGGTGATCAATTAGACCACACCCTTATCACACCTTTTGAGCCATTAAGATTGAGTACTCCTTGTGTCATTCTCTCAACTCGTTGTTTCTCATTATAGTTAAGAAGCTCTCGAATCCCCCATCTATAAATGTAGGTCTGATTTTATTGAACCATAATGTAAATTCTTTATGTGTTGTTTTTTGTTTATCTTCTTTATTTTTTTTTTTCTCGTTCTTATTATTTCATTGACTTGTTACTCACTAATCAAACACAACACCACCCTCTTTCTTAACAACCTTAATAACTCCATATTTCAAGTCGGGGTAAGATAATACGAAGTATTACAATTGTGCAACCCATCATACCCTTGAAACTTGCCTACCGCCAAAATGAAAGCTTGAGCTTTGATCGGCAAGAAATTATTGATGATACTTTGATTTCAAATGCCCTATTGAATTATAAGGAAGCTGGATTACTTGTGAAGCAATTATAGGAGCAAGTTAATTAATAGAGGTAGCATCATATATACTCATACAGTCATACACAGTGATAATGTTTTGGAAGATACTATAACTAGCGGAACATATATCTTTTTAAGAGATTACGACATATTTGTCAATTTCTAAATTGCTATTTTATTTAATTAATTATTGAACAATTGAGCACCAACACATGCATAGAAGTATAGAACAATGAACTCTACATCAACGTTACATAATAAAAATTTAGGAGTATTAGACAATAATGCTCATAAATCAAGATTTTAAAAAATAAAGAGACTTAAATCATCTTTTTAAAGGCATACATAGTGCTCCACAATTTGTATAAGTTTAGCCAAATAGGTGGAGTATCCAGAGAGAAAGCGCTAAAGAATACACATTCACACATAGTGTAAAAGCAAGTAATAAAATACGGCCGTAAAAGAAAAGTGGAGTAAATGATAAAATACGAAGGGAGTATAGACTTGCTTATTATTCATGTTGTTAAAATTTTAACCGTATTTTTTGTGTTAAATTAGAGAAAAACATGTGAAATCTAGCTAAGTTTGTCTTAATGTAAATTTTTAATATTTTAACATTTTTTAATCAGTCAATCAATCAATAATAATATAATAATCATAATAATAATAATAATAATATATATTAAAAGACACACTAGTAATGACACATGTCATCTCCTGGTGTGTCCTTAATTTTTATTTAAAAAAAATGTCTGGGTGTTTAAGTTTAGTAGTATGAAAATTTATTAGTAGAATATACTTATGAAAATTATATCTTAAGATCGTGATATAATTTTCCTAAATAATCATATCACTAATATATAAAGTTGGTCTCGCAGCCAGGCCACGAGACAGTGACACTTAGCATTCTAGTTTTTCGCCACATAGGCGACAAATAGGATGCTAAATAATCGAATTTTGGATAGATTTTTGAAGATAAAAATGTTGTATAGAGTTTTATTATCGATACACTACTTATATTTCATATATACAAAATTAATCATAACTTTTAATAAAAAAAACTAATAACTCGGTTCTATTTCCATCATAAAATTCTTATTAAAAGGTTCTATAAAATAAGATCCATTTATAATATATTTAAAATAATAGAGATTTAGTAAAAAAAAAAGTTTTAATCGATAAAAATACTTTCAGTTTTGTAAAAACGATTTAAGTATGATATCGCATGTTAAATATTATGCATTATCAAAAGTAATTATATGACCGTATTTAACATTCAAGCCAAAAGGTTTATCCTAAAATTCAATAAACAATATGGGCATCGCACGGGGCACAAAACTAGTTATATCATAAAATTATATGGCGCAACACTTGGCGAAAAATTGGAATGTCAGGTGTCAGTGTCTCATAGCCTGGCTACGGGATCCAGTTTTATTTATTAGTGATATGATATGATATGATGTATGATAAAAAAATTTAAATGCATAAACCAATGAATGATTCCAAATCTAATATCTATTACTAAAAGAGGTATTTTTTAGGAGCATTCAACGCTCCACATAAGCAAAAGACTTATTTCAACCAATATAAAAAGAGCTTTGTATTTTATTTTTAAATTAAAAAATTCAATCGCCACATAAGTAAAATTAACGATTGAGCTTTGAAAATCTTATTTAAAATATAAAGAAAAACAGTGTTTTTTCTATGTGGCTGGCCACACTATATGGCCGAGGTTACTTATTCAAGGGTTATCTGGTCGGTCAAGGGTTACTGTAACACTCCCATATCTCCTTTTATGGGAATACTAGTATAATACATATAATTATACCGTAAAGAATACATTTAGGCGTATTACCGCCATGTGAAAACGAGAGCCTATTATGTACACCTGGGTGTACCATGTTTTTACTCATTTGTTGATTGAATGAGCAAATGACCCTGGGTGTACGGTACACCCTGGTATATATAACAAATTCTACAAAACATAAGGCTATTTTAAAAACTAAACTCAATAACAAACTTGCAGTGAAAAACTCAACTCTTCTTTATTAATACTTGAAATAGAAATCATTGTCATGAGTACTCATATGAAAACAAAAACAAACATCAGGTGAAGCAAATCTCGAGACTCCTATATGCTCAAATCATAGACTCCACCTAAAAAATTTATCACTGCTTACCATTATGGTAAATTAGGCGACTAAAACAAATAGGAAACACGGATTAGCAAAATATGCTAAGTACATTTAAGTGCAAGATAAGTAAACTCAATTTTTTAACAACATGCTTTTAAAATCAATCATGAAAATTCCAATATTTATTTCAATAATTCCAAACTCATTATTTCAACCCACTCTTAAAATTCTCAAATTACTCCAATAACTCATTAATTCAAATAATATTTCAAATAGGAAAAATCAATTTTTTTTTAAAACGCAATTCCTCTCCTAAGTATTTATGTTGTTAATAAAGAGAACGTACAAATAATATGACGATGATACAGAGTAATAATATTTTTTTTTTTTTTTTTTTACCAAAACTGATCCTCACGGCCTCACCTCATCTCACCTCACCTCACCTCACCTCACTCATTGAGTCTAGACACCAAATGATGTGATTATATGAATATATGATACGATACATTGATACTGAATATATTGATTGGAGTCAAAAAATAAAATGATGCCATATATAAAATAGATTCCACATTGTCCAAGAACCACCCAAATCTCATTAATACTCTACCAACATCGACTCCCTGTCTCCCTCCATTCTTTCCTTCTTCATTCCCTCTCTTTCTCTCTCCTCTCCTCCCTCACTTTCCCAGCAGCCATTGCACCACAACAAAGAGAGACTTCATTCCTTCATTCATTTTATAAAAGTTAAAGATTGTGCTCATTCTTATTTTATTTTATTTTTTATTTTTATCGAGTAAAAAAAAAAAAAAAAGATTGTGACATTTTATATTTTTGTTTTCTGAGTTAATTCTAATGGTTTTTTCTGCAAAATCCAATGGTGATAAAAATAGCAGCAGCAACAACAATGAAGGTTGGGGAATGGGATTCTTGCTCATCCTTTTTCATCATCACCCAGACAATAACAATAATAATAATAATTCTCACGAACAACCCAATTTCTTTGGTAAGAAGAAATCTTCGATTTCATTCTCTTCAAAATCAAACACAAATTTACTCGTTTCTAAAACACAATCTACTTTATCAATTTGTGGAATTTTAGTTTTCACAACTATTTTATTATTCACTCTTTCAACCTTCGAACCCACCTCTGTTATGAAGAACAATTACCCATCTTCTCGAAGATTTCTGAAACAGAATAACAATCACGAAAATACCCATCAAAGATTCAAGGTTTTGAGCATGTTTTCGAGTAAATTGAAGGGCAGTGAGAGTAATTTCACCCGCATTGATGCTGCGAATCCTGCTTTACAAGGTATGGGTGCTCTGTATTTAAGAGGGAGTAAAAGTATGAGTGATTTAGTTGTTGGGCATGTATCAGAAAATGCGTCTGAAAAGGAGTTGAGGACATTTCTAAGAGTTTTGATTCACCACTCTAGTCTATTATCGCGTGCTGACTTAGTTTTAATCTACTCCTCGGCGTCAGCCGCGGCGAGGTTCGGAGCATTGGTGAGGTTTGAATGTGACTCATTTCTTCAACTTTTTCGAATTGGTGGCGAGCTCGGGAGGTTCACCGAGTTGGAAAGCGGGTTTAGTCGGTACTTAGCCAAGAGGGAGGTTGGTGAAGGGGAGAAAGAGCCGATTTGGGGGAAGAAGAGAGGGAACTCGAGTGAAGGTGAGTTGACTCGGTCGAGTTACGGGTCAGTGCTCGGGTTTGAGGCTTCTGAGCTTGACCCGGAAGATACGCTTTCGGGTTTTTTGGTTCATGTGCCAATGAGTTTGAGGAGGTGGGCGAGTTACCCGATGTTGCTGGGACGAGTCCGCCGACAGTTTAAGCATATGATGCTGGTTGATATCAGGGATACATTGATTCTTTCCGACCCGTTTAGTCGGGTTCGGAATCGGAGCTCCGAGTCGTTGTTTATGTGGTCAAACCTCGACACCGAGCCGACTCGGCATCATCATGGCAAGAGGAACTCAGGAAAGTCGCAGGATTCGAACTCCAAACCTCAATTTAACCCCGCAGTCATTGTTGGTGGAAGCCGCGGGGTGCGTCGGTTTGCAACCGCGGCATTGACCGAAATCGTGCGGGGCGTGATAGAGCACAAGGGGAAGGGGCGAAACTCGGTTACCGAGTCGGGACTCGTGAACCAACTCGTTCACAGTGGGCACCTACTAAAGAACATAAATTTGATCACACCGACCGAGCCACTCGCCGAGTTGAGTTCACTCGGCGGGTTTAACTCGGTCGACTCGGCGAGTTCGAGTTACCTAAGGCTGTCCGATTACTTCAGTGTGGTGCAACGTGGGCATAGTAGTGGTGAAAGTGGTAGTTTAGATATTGATGAGGTGGTTATGAAAGAAATTTGTGCATCTCATAAATTATATTCTTCTGTTTATAGTGATTGTTTGGTTAATCAATAATAGTTAGTTTTAGTAAAAATAGTGCAAGTAATTGGGTGAAAAAAAAATACATAGGAGAATAAAGCTAAGTTTTATTTTTCTTTTTTTAGTTGATAATGTGCAAATTCTGTTCATAAAATATGGAAACAATTTTGGAAATATGGAATAATTACATTAGTTTGTGGTTGAATAAGTTTTTACTACATTGGTGTGAAATTTGTGTACCTCAATGTTCTGCCTGCCATTCAGTTTTGTTTGGGTGTGTTTTGGCAAAGGTTGTATTTATGCTTAGGCAAGTCAATAACGAACTGGCCAAAATTGGGGGATAAAATATTAATTTTATAGACTTTATATTAAAATTATAATATATAGTTTTCATATTATATGGTCCATGAATTCTAGGGTACTGAATTAATACTAGTGTAAGAAAAAGAGAGCATAGTTTATTAATTATATTAATTAATAGTAGTAATATAAAATAAATCAGACAATTTCTGTTGGTTATAACTTTTCCCAGGTTAGTTGATTTTATGTTAGTAGAGTTTGGTAATTATTGTTTTTGTTTTGCTTGTTTTAATTTAATGTATTTACAAAGTAGAGTTAGTATGTTTATCATGTTAAAATTGTTTAGAAGTAAAAGAACATGAGTCATGACACTTTGACACACTCATTTCCAATGACAAGAAAGATCCAACTAATTTTATACAATTACGGCTAGTGAAGACTGACAAGTACCCTAGATGTGAAACAAAGAACCAAATTTAATAAAGAATTGGAGTTATTAATACTAATATTGAGGAAGCAATTTTACAATTTTTAGTTTGGACCGACCGACTACAGATTAAGGAACTCGTCTATTTGCCTTAGCACAACTGCACAAGCCTAATGTATATTTTAATTTTTATTACCCCAAAGAGAATAGACGGGGAAGGTACAGTTTGGACTTGTGACCTTTAGTCTTTATCACTAGACCAAAATCTCATCGTATATTCTAATGATAAAACCTCATCATAGCCTAATGTATATTCTAGAAATTGTTTCGTATTTTCCATTTTTATTTTGCATGACTAGGTGGCAGAGGATTTTTTTGAGTGTCGGTATTTTATAAGCTTGGAGTGAAATTAAGACCACAAAGGACATGTGAACATGCTAGCTCTTAAAACGACTGTGAACTGTATGTTTATCAAAAGAGTCAATTTTACAATGTGGGACTAATTAAGAGAAGTGATAAAGTGATCAACAACCAAATGATTCAGGAGTATGGCTTATTGGAAAAAGGTAGTTAAAGTCACTAATTAATTGTGGGTGAACTATACTTTATATTATAATAATATAATACTGCCACCTATATTGGTGGTTAATTTAAGCCTTATTTTGAAGAATGTGATCGCATGCTGCTAAAACTTGGTAAAGATGGAAAAAGGAAAAGGAGCTTAGTTCATGTAAGTATACACCATTACTTCATTACTTCGATAATATGGTTATCCCTTCCAAAAATAAATAAATAAAAAGGTTCTAGTTTAGAGGAATAAATAAAAGAGATTTGTGTTTACTTGTTCGTACATTGTTTAGTATAATAATAGGTAGTCTTGAATGATGTGTTGTAGACAAGACTCGATTATGAGTTTTGAGGATTAACTTTTACTAATTTATCAAATACGTTTATTGACCATATAAACTGTGGTTTCCTGAAGGATTCACTATATATTCAAGTTATCATACTTTTTTTAAATAATGAAATAAATGCAAATTGAGGTCCGATCCTAAGGTTTTACCTTGTAAGAGTATACAATTATATATATATATATATATATATATATATATATATATATATATATATATATATATATATATATATATATATATATATATATATATATATATTTGATTTTGGATGATATTATAAAGTTTTTTTTTAGGTTTAATTAAAATGCTATGTGAAGCAACTTTGAGCAAATCGGTTTTAAAATATATATACAATCATAACAACGAGCACTTCTTTTTATCCAGTAGAAAAGTTTGTACGCTTAAAGCCTTAAAGGCAGCAAGTTATTATGCAAATAATATGCAATAATTTTGCTTGTGATTTATTCTTCCTGGCAGGGTAACAAATTATGTAAAAGTAGTAAATCCTTATTTTCTTAATTGTATATTATGGAGTATTAAATTTTATACTAATTTGGATACAGATTATATATGTATCTCCTAAATTGATTATTTGAGCTTCTACAAAGGAAAAAAAAAAAAAATTGATTATTTGAGCATGCATTAAACTCATATAAATTCTTTGACATTTTTTCCCCATCTTATCTTAATCAATAATCATTACCAAATGTACTAACTGCTAATTATTATTTTTTTAATAAATTATTTCTTTAAATGGTAATATTTCAATATAGAATACACATTTATTTTGGTTCAAAAAAAAAAAAAAAAAATTAGGGCATCTTATCTTTTTGAAAAAAAAAAAACACTAAGACTACAATATGGAAATGGTAACATTTTTATTACATTTGTGATTAAAGGTTTATTTTAGGTATTACCTCCATCTTACAACAGATGCAACGTTCACTTTGATAAGTCAACCTAGCTAACAAAAGGAATGTGTGAGTAATACATTATAGTCAATAATGATGATCAATTCATAATTAGGAGATAATTAATCCACCCAAAAATTAAAATTTAATAATAAAATCTTTGCCATATATAATTAATATTCCTTAGAACATGTAGGGGGGTGATTAGTGATTAGAGATTAGTGAAGATAATCATAACAATAAGTATAACATAACTCAAAAACGGTGTCATAATTGTGCAAAGGCAGAGATCTAGGAACGTGAAAACCATGCTAATACAAGCTAGCTAAAACAAAGATCCATGTTATTTAAGATTTGATGTTTCTTCTCATGAGATTTTAATCTCTCAATCAATGATAAAAGGTGAAGCAAAATAAAAGTCATGGAGGAAATGTGAGACAACTGCAAGCAATGCAAGATATTAGGAAGGTGGCTCAATTGCATTCATGAACTTTCCGTCCCCGACCCATGTGAGCTCCCATTTTTTAATGCGTGGGTTCCTCAACATATTCATTATTCCACCCTTAACTCTGCTTGCTACTATCATAAATAACGTTTTTGAGTGAGCGTCCTCTGCGAGCTAAGCTAGTATAGTTGGTAAAGTCACATTAGATCATACTTTGTATATCATACTCCTTCTATTTCGCATTAGTTGCAACACTTTCTATTTTTGGCCGTTTCATATTAGTTGCAACACTATTATATTTGGAAAGGACCCACCATTATTTTATAATTTCTCTCTCCCACTAACCCCATTTTCACAAATATTTTATTATTTCTCTTTCGTACCAACCCCACTCACATTACTTTGTTTATCATTTCTATCTCTTACTAATAATACTTTATATTATAAGACTATAAGCCTAGTCTATAATTTTCTTAAACTATGAGCCAAGCCTACTGTTGCAACTAATGCGAAACGGAGGGAGTACTACATTAAACAAAAAAAAAAAAAAAAAAAAAGAGAGAAAATTACACCACATATGATAATTTGAAGCATAACTTTCTCAAACAATATATAGTATATGTAACTGTCTACATTGGTAAAAAAAATTTAAACCATCTAAGACAATTTGAAACATATATATAACCTCGTAGACTCTATGAAACAAAGTCATGCGGTCTGACCATATTTTATATTTAACTTAAAACCTAAAACTATTAGACCACAACACTTCCGTAGCTGGCCGTCTAATTCGCTTGCTACATTGGGTTGTGTTGACCTATAAAAGTAGAATTGTGGTCCGATAATGTGGTTCACATTGTCATTAGAATATAAAAGAATTATACTTGTAAAAGAAGTATAGATAAGGAATTAAGGATTTAAGTTTAATACTATCTCCGTTGAATATTAGTTGCCACTTTAAAGTATTTTATATCTTACAAATAATACTCCAAAGTTGCAACTAATACTTAACGGTGGTAGTACAAAGTATAAAATATGAAGTTATACTAGCTTAGATAATTAGTTTGTTTAGATCTTGTTAAGGTCAATTAAGTGTAAATTAAGTCTAATGCTTGTAAACTTAAGAACGCAAGATCAATAAAGGGAGTATGTGAATGCGTAGTGGTGGACAGTAGCTCATAAAATAGGCCTGTAGCATTAGTTGCACAGTTGCATGCAGTAGTAATAGATACGGAGTAGTTAATAAAACGTGGGGTTTAGCACTTTGATGTTGCTTCCAAGACAGAACTTTACCCGTATTCAAAGCTTTGGTTGGGTAGCTACCATACAAATTAAGTCAAGTTAGATCTTTCTTAGAAACCCAACAATTTTACACTCTACTTTTACGCTCTGTCCACTCCCAAAAATACAACTTCACCCCTTTTATCTTTGTTTTATAATTACTACCTCCGGTCGCTATTATTTGCAACTTTGGAGGGTTTTACGGTTTACGAAGCATAATTTGATAATAAAAGGAAAGGGTACTTTGTACATGTGATTAGGAGGAGAGAGAAAAAATAAAATGGGGGACCATTATAATAAAATCTGATTTTGTACATGTGGTTAGGAGGAGAGAGAAAACATAAAAAGGGGGACCACCATATAAATGACATTTTAACCAAAAAAGTTTGTTAAAATGGGAAAGAAATTGGAAAGTTGCAAATATTGTTGGGCGGCCAAAAATAGTAAAAGTTGCAAATAATAGCGATCGAGGTAGTATTACAATTTGCACACACAATATTAGGGATATCAATTAGTTTAGCTCAATAAGCTGGTTAAGGTTTTGTGGTTGTACTTATTATGATTTGAAATCGAATCTCGTTTATATTATTTGTCTTTTGTTCATCTTTCTAAACATAGATAAACTATTTGCATATTAAAGAGAAACAAGAGAGGTATTGACGTAATAATGTAGGTAAAAGGATGGGGGGTATTGATTATTTAGCTCGATATATTCATGTGAAAATATACTTGAGGGGTAATGACTAATGAGAGTACGT